TATAGTAGATGCTACAAGTTCTGGAAGTTTTTTATTTTTATTTTTTATTATATAACCCACAGTTACGATTATTTAAAATTTATGGTGATATTGTTTCGGCAACGAGATATAGGTAAGATTTTTCCATTCCGAAAAATTTTGGCTACATCCTTATCACGTCAAACGAGTAATTTCCAGAACTACAACAACCTGCACACAGGCAACACGAATACACATGCGAACTTTTACGTTACTCATTCCATTTCCTGTGAACGCATTCAAATTCCCCGTGAGACTTTCGTTTACTTTTAGATTTATGAGCCAGACACTTTTCCTCCTTTTTTATGATCCAATAGCAAAAAATTATGGATCCAACATATTTTTTATCACCCTATTTGACTTTAAGAAAAACCTTTTTTTTAAATACTGATAAGAAAAAAAAAAATTCATTTTTTAATTGTTTTTGATGTAATTTATTATATACTAGTGGTTCCGTAATCTATCGATAAGAAAACTATTAAATATTCCCATAAGAATTAATCCATATAATTTCCTTGACAACTACCATGGTTTTCGATAAATCGACGTCATTGAGATACCATAGCATTATAGGGTCTTAAAATATGAAATATCCATACTTCATTCAATAGAAATCCTAAATTTTCTGCAAAAATACATCACAAGTGCAACTTTCTCAAATTAAAAAAAAAAAAAATTCAAACATCATCTTCTGTGTGTTGTAAATCGATCGACTGAACTCTAATAACTATGTATGATTGTTCGAGGATAAAGTTTATTGTAAAACAACGTAATATTTTGTTTCATTTGAACGCTTGCGAAAATCCGACATTGTAGCCTTTTTATCCAGAATGAAAATCAAGAGTCCATCCGAGTTTTTATTTTCGGTGAAAAAAATCTCAACCATTTCGTTGTACACATCAACGTCAGCGTTTCGTAAATCGACACATCGAAAGAGAGAAAGACATGTAGGTCACAAAAACAAAATCAAACCCAAAAAGCGAAAAAGCGCGAAAGACAAGAGGAATCCGTCTCCTTGAAAATTCGGCATGAAATTTTCGAGACGACGGGACTACTTCTCTCTCGGGCATTCGCGATATTCGCACACACGTAAAACACACTCATCCCCAATATACTGAATCCTGACTCCCCACGCTATATATATACAAATTAGTGGAAAATCGATCCTATTGAAAGTATATGTATACGCCGGGAGGGACACATTGTATGCGCTTCTCTTCGTCAAACTCTAGCTCAGCACGTGGAGGTAGTCTCGTCTTTTTGGTTCCCCGCACACACTTGCCACCCATGTTCTTGTATACACACAGCCAAGACAACAATGACATTGTCCGCGCGGTATTCACCGCGAGATCCAGCAAATTCCCAATGAATCGTATTTCGCCTTGGATTTTTTCCACTTTTGTTAAGTACCCATGCGTAATTTACGTAGTAGATTCCCCCCACTCCTTCTCTATCTTCCATCCTCTTCAAGGCTGCATGCATACGTAACTTTTTTTTCCTTATTTATTTTTTTTTTTTTTTAAAGGTGTGGGAGAGAAAGAGCAGCGGGGCGTTTATTTTGACGCGCAGACGCGACTCTGACCTCTACTCGTAACGAAATAAATACGGCTCGTGTGACAAATCATTACGCAAAAATAGAATG